CTTCCCCTCCTTCCCCTCCTCCTGCTCCTCCTTCCCGTCCTCCCCTATCCCCTCCTCCTCCTCCTCCTCCTCCTCCTCCTCCTCCTCCTCATTAGACTTAGTCTATGTGCATTCTCATTATCATTCCCCTCCTCCTCCCCATCATCATCAGCATCATCATCAGCATCATGATCAGCATCGCCATCATCACTATCATCAGCACTACCACCATCATCATCATCGTCATCATCATCATCATCAACAACAACATCAGCATCATCATACTCATCATCATCATCATCATCATCACCACCAGCATCATCTTCATCATCATCATCATCACCATCATTATCATCATCATCATCATCACCACCACCACCACCACCACCACCATCATCATCATCATCATCATCATCATCATCATCATCATCATCATCATCATCATCATCAGCATCATCATCATCATCATCATCTCATCATCATCATCATCATCATTATCATCATCATCATCATCATCATCGTCATCATCATCAATCATCAGCACCATCACCACCATCAACATCATCATCCTCATCGTCATCATCATCATCAACATCACCACCAACATCATCATCATCATCATCATCATCATCATCATACATCAGCATCAGCATCAGCATCATCATCATCACATCATCATCATCATCATCATCATCATCATCATCATCATCATCATCATCATTTCCCTCCTCCACGTCCTCCTCCTGCCCCTCCCTCCTCCCGCCCTCCCTCTCTACTCCTTCCCCCCCTCCGTATCCTCCTCCGCCCCCTCCTTTGAACCCTGTCCTGGCACAGTGCAGCAGGACACTGCCCTTTTCGGACTTCGTGCGCTGCTGCTGCTGCTGCTGCCAGGCACAGGGTTACGGAGTGCGCGCGCGCGCGAGGCCCCTCGGCTAACACACAACCTCCTTCCCCCTTCCCCCTCCCCGTCCTCCCTCCACCTTCCTCCTACCATTCCTCTCCTCCTCCTCCTCCTCCTTATCCCCTCCTCCTCCTTCCTCCTCCTCCTCCTCCTCCTCCTCCTCCTCCAACGGCTCCTCCTCCTCTTCCCCTCTTTCTCCTCCTCCTCCTCCTCCTCCTCCTCTCCCTCCTCCTCCTCCTCCTCCTCCTCCTCCTCCTCCTCCTCCTTCTCCTCCTCCTCCTCCTCCTCCTCCTCCTCCTCCTCCTCCTCCTCCTCTCCTCCTCCTCCTCCTCCTCCTCCTCCTCCTCCTCCTCCTCCTCCTCCTCCTCCTTCTCCTCTCTCCTCCTCCCCCTTCTCCTCCTCCTTCTCCTCCTCCTCCTCCTCCTCCTCCTCCTTGTCCTCCTCTCCCTTCCAACTTCCACATCCTCCTCGGAGTGTTTTTCCGTGAATACGGCAACGTCGGACGTATTTCGACTGGGAGGAGCTCGGAAGAGATCCAGGCAGCGCTTCGACGAGGACGTTCGGCTGCTCGGGACGGTCTTCACACACTGAACAGCTGCGAGCTGGGTTGGGGGGGGGGGTGGGGCTTCCCTCGCACGGCGCAGGGTATACTTTGCGCCTGCGCGGGAGCTGGGTAGGCCTTGGTGGCCAGGCCCTCTGGGGTCTGGGGTGGGGCCTCGGGCTCCGTGGGTGGGGCTCCCTCTTCCCTGGTGCGGGGGTTGGTCCCTCCCATGTTTGCGCCCATAATGGCGAGCGAGGGGGATACCCCTGGAGTTAGTCTCATTGTCTCATAATCCTCCTCCTCCTCATTTTCCTCCTCATTTTCCTCCTTCTCCTCCATCTCCTCCTCCTCCTTCTCCACCTCCTCCTCCAATACCTCCCACCCCTCCTCCTCCACTTCATCCTCCTCCTCCTCCTCCTGCTGCTCCTCCTCCTCCTCCTCCTCCTCCTCCTCCTCCTGGTGCTGCTACCCTAAAGGCTAGACGCGTGCAGAGACACTTTGACTACAGCCGTCAACAGCTACACCATCACTACATCCTGCTTTTGCTTCTCCTCCTCCTCCTCCTCCTCCTCCTCCTCCTCCCTGGCCTCCCCCCCTTCTCTCAGGAGAATATCCTCCTCATCCTTCTTCTCCTCGCCCTCCTGGTGCTCTTTTTACTTCACTCCGCCTTCCTCCGTCTCCTCGTCCGAATCCTCTCACACCCTCCTCTTCCTCCTCCTTCCCCTCCTTCTCCTCCTCCTCCTTCTCTCCAATAATTCCCCAGTCCTCCTCGTCCTCTCCTCCCCTCCTGCACACATCCTTCTTTTTCTTCCCCTTCGTCCTCCCTCCCCCTTCTCAACCAAGCTTTCTCTTCCTTCCCCTTCTCACTCATCTCTCCGTTTGCCCGTCCTCCTCCCGTGTCTCCTCCATCCCCTTATCCCCCTCCTCGGTTGCACGGTTGCACAATGGGTCCGAAGCTCAAGCCAGGCTCAAGAAAGGAACCAGAAATGGGACCCACCTTCCTGCTCCTCCCCATTGCGCCTTCGTCTCTTGGCGTGGCTCTGGAAGGTAGGAAAGGATGGGCGGCTAAGATCGTCCTCCAGCGACGCCGTGGTCGGACTTTTCCTTCTCCTTCTCTGGCACCTCCTGCTGCTTCCTTTCCTCCTCGCTCTCATCACTCTCCTGTCCCGCAGGCCGGTGGCCGCGGGGTGCTGTTGTTCGACATGCGGGATGCCTGTCGCGGGGGTGTGAACTCGCGGAGTATGCCCAGAGCACGGCGCGACCAGTCAGCGCCCCGCCGGGTCACAGACGATGGTCGCGCATCACCTCGTCCACGCCACGCACGGACAGGAACTTGATCTTTAACACTCTTCTTCTTATCCTCCGTCACAGTGCAGCGGGACGAGGGGCGGTTTCCATCAGCTGCGCCGGGGGTGCCAGCCGGGGGAGCGCCCGCTGGCAGTCGAGCCGATGGCGGCTACTTTTTCCGTCGCAGCTCGGCAGAGACGGTCCGCACGCGCGCTCCACTGGGCCAGGCTCGGGCACGCACGGATTGTCCGGCTGCAAGCGAGGGGGCGGGGCCAGAGAGTGGCCGCGGAGGGCGGGAGAGAGGGGGGGAGGGCACTCACAGCTCGGAGACCTTCGTCAGGAGTGGCCGGTGCGGCCAGCCTGTGCTGA